TAACCGGTGGTTGAGTGTCAGCACATCTGCCACTTTAAAATGCTGGCTGGTACGACCAGGATTACCCATCAAAGATAATGCCGACTAAAGGGATTGAGGTTGCCTAGAAGTACGACATGAATCTTGCTTTTTGGTCTAGAGCGTTTGCGTAGCCCCAAGTTAACCCTTAAGGGGAGTACTGATGAGGCAAGCTCAGTCAGTTCACCAAAACACGAATGACAGGGGATCCGAAACCGGCTTCTCTGGTCATGGGTATCCCAGTCTTTGCTGTCTTTGTACTCACATAATGCAATTTTCTGCATGCCTAATATCACACTTTCGGCCTTCCGATCTTCATTCCTCCTCTTCCTCCTCATAGCACGCCGTTGCCGGCAACTACATAAACGCCAGTTACATTGGATCCTGTTCTGCGGCACTCACCGGCCGTACTTACAGGGTGGAATCCCTGGCAAAACCGGAATTTATTATAACACAGGATCCCCTGCGCGAGACTATCGGAGACTTTTGGCAAATGGTTTACGAGCAGCAGACACCGCTCATCATTATGCTGTCTGGGTAAGTCTGCTGCTCTGCACATCTGCCTACTGGAACGACACTTGCTGGCTGTTTAGCCATAATAATAGTAACAAAACTCGTCATAATAATAATAGTCATCATCATCATTCCAGTCTCCTTTGTCATTGCCAGAAATATTATCCGGCTAGATTAGTAGCCGCTGTGCGGCTGCTGTGAGGGCCCAAGAACTGAGACCCACGACTGAGGGGGACAAAGTGTGTATCCCCGGACATAAAGGATAAAGAGGGCGATCACGGGAATAATGGGTATAATATCCCGACGTTTCGAAAGCGTACCGGCTTGCACCATCGAATGTTGGTTTTGTACACGCCTCACAGTATTTATAGGTGTTAAATGACATCGTTTGTTCGTCTAGTGGTGCCGGGGGTGGGTAGAACTCAATCGTCGTCCTGATGCCCAGGGTTTCTCCCCCTCACCTCGTCGGAGGGGGAGGGTTATTGAGTTCGTTTTGGTAAAGTTCGGTGCTAGAATTCTGCGTTATTGCTCAGTTGATAAGGGTGCTAACGGTACTCCGTTTATGAGCAATAGAGTGGTTGCTCCCGTAATGAAGGATAACATTTGCATAGGTGTTTTTGTGGTAAACCGACGTTTGAAACGTTCCGTCAGTATTCCGCTGTACGAAGACTTCAAGAAATGCGAGTTTACTGTTAACTTATTTTTCGAGCGTAAACTTGATTCCTGGCATTTTTGAATAAATGGCGTTGTGTAGTGCTTTTTGTTGGTCCTTTATTAACAATGAAGAACGTATCATCGACATAGCATACCCACAACGTGGTCTAACTAGTAGTAGGGCCATAGTTTCTAATTTTTGCATTGTGATTTCAGCCAAGAAGGCCAAAATTCCTGAACCCATCGGGGCTCGTTTTATTTGTTTATAGTATTGTTGAGCGAATGAAAAATTAATTTCAAGATATAGATTTGAGAGTTCAAGCAGGGTAGATACAAGAAAGTCTATTTCGTAGGGATTAAGTAGTTCTTATGTGTATTGCCTCGCTAAATCTTACAGTATCGAAGATAGAGACAACGTAAAATGGTACGACTATTTCGTCTGCTGCTATTTCAAGTCCTCATTATTTGTTCAGAGACTCCATGGAATTATTAATTAATGTTTAACACTCTTTCGTTACTGGGTGGAGCTTTCCAAATAGCCAGTTTGAGTATTTGTACTTGGGTGCGCCGATTAATGATCACATCGGCCGTAGTGGTACGTCCAGCTTATGTATTTTAGGCAGTCCATGGATCTTCGATATGTTTGGTCCAGTTTGTCTCAGGGACTTAGCAATATCTACTGTTATTTTCTTCTTCTATATAAATGAATACCCCTGTATAATACCTTTTAAATAGTTGCATTCTGTGTTTTGGTGGGATCCGCACTCAAACTTTGACGCATACAACTTTAAACGTGTCATTTTGACTCTCCTCGCAGATGCGCTGCTGGTGGCAATGAAGGCAGCATTGACTACTGGCCAACTAACGTTCAGGAGGTTTGGGTCTTTGGTTCACAACAAACGGAGGTCAGTGTCCAGCTTATGAGTGAACGTGCGGACCACGACTGGCTTGAGAATAACTTCCGCGTTTGGTTGAAAGGCAAAGAAAATATGGTAAGTCATTTGCCCTAGGCGTTCCTCCCAGCTTTTTATGTATATCAGGAACCACTGCCACACGGAGAAAGAAGATAGTTTACTTTATTTCCCCAGCCCTCCCCGCCGGTTCTGTGGCCACTAGGTCTATAATAGTCTTGTGACATCTTGGAACATGAAGAGGTGGACCACGAAGTTTACAAAATGTATTAGACCCTGAAAGGAAACGATTTCACGTTTGTTCTCCAAGGAGAGTTTCACTGGAAAGTTTCTTAGTGAAAGTAAAGCGATACTTGCACGGCTTCTTGTGTCTGGCGGTTGAACAGGGAGGGAAAAAATAGAGAAAAAGAATGAATTTAGCAAGCTAGTACTCCGTTCACTAATGTTAATCTTATGTCCTGACAGATAGGGAGAAAAAAGAGGAAGCCCTATTCGGCAAAAGCAGGAGTTCATTCTCAAACTGCGGACATACAGACTTGTTTATCTTTAACCTAAGTCGTCGTATGTAGTCGGTGCTGAAAGTCATTGTGGAATCTTCTGGCCTATCTCGCGCCGACTCGTGCCGGTAAAAAGCAGAGCTTCTCGGCCCGTGGCGTGGCCTGCGTTGATTGGCCGGCTCGGGCGCGAAA